TTAAATGGGGTACTGCAGATGTCTTCCACGCAACCCTGCAGCTGGAGCAGGTCTGCCCTCCTTTTCCTTCCGTGGTTAGCTTAACTGCTGGAGGAGCACGGTTGGGAGGGCAGGTGGGCTGTGGGCTAGGCGCTTGGCTGGTGGTGCTGAGCCCTCTGAAGGGGCACTGCGGTGACCAGTCAGATCTTAACAGGGCCTCACAAATGAGGCTCAAATGTTGCTTCACCATAAAGAGAGCAGGGAGTCTTCCTGTTATGGGTAGAGGCCAGGCTGAGACCTGTCAGGTAACAGGCCATAGCCACCCGGCCAGTCAGAGAACCAGGGAGCCTCAGGAACCCTTGTCCCCCAGGACGCTTGCTTCTGAAGAACATGGTGAAAGAAGTCTCCTTTCAAGGGTCCCCTGCTTGTCTCGGGACACGTAGGATGCCTGCAGATATTTAAGAGTTTATTTTTATTTTTTAATAAATTGGTTTATTCTAATTAGGTACGTACAGCAGCAGAATGCGCTTGATTCATTGCACACAATTGCAGCACGACTCTTCTTTTCTGTGGTTGTACCATATGTGCAGTCACACACGTACCTAGGGTAATGATGTCCATCGCATTCCACCATCTTTCCTGCCCCCATGCCCCCTCTCCTCTCCCCTCTTCCCAGTCACAGTTCTTCCGTCCCCACCCAGCTCCCCAATATGGCTCAGCATCCACTTTTCAGAGAGAACTTTTGGTTTTGGGGGATTGGCTTACTTCACTTAGCATGATATTCCCCAGCTCCATCCATTTACTTGCAAATGCCATGATTTCATTCTTTTTTTATGCTGAATAATATTCCATTGTGCATGTGTACCATAGTTTCTTTATCCAAGGGCATCTAGGTTGGTTCCCCAGTTTAGCTATTGTGAATTGAGCTGCTATAGACGTTGATGTGGCTGCGTTACTGTAGTAAGTCTGCTTCTTTCTGGCCTGTTTTAAAAAGAAAGTCCCTACCCCATTCTGGACAGCCGCTAACATCCCACTCCCACGCTGGTGGGACTGCGAGTTAGTGCAGGACACAGCTGGTCAGAAATGGGAAGGGCCAGGTGCGTGGGGTGGTGAGGAGCCTGCTTGGCACGCAGAAGGCCGGCTCCAAGGCAGGGAGCAACACAAAGCCCTGTGTTCACGAGCTAGTCACAGGGAGCTTGACAGTGTGCCCCAGTCCTTGTTCCACAGAAGGTTGGGTGGCCAGTGCAGGAGGTGGGCAGCCCAGGCGGGATCCCGGGAGCCTGTTGGCTGGCAGCAGGGAGGCTTCCTGGGGTCCCCTCTGAGTGGCTCCCTGCTGGAACGGCTTTCCACCACCCTGAGGTTCTGTCTTTCCCAGTGGCCAGCGGTGGGGAAACAGCAGGAACAGAGCTGGTTCGTCCACGTGGGATAGGACGGGTGTCATGGGGTCACAGGCATATTCTCTGGAGTCCAGGAGAAACCACAGGCAGGCCCTCCAAGTGTGCAGGTGGGCTCCTGCCAGGTAGAGCCCCTGCCCTGGCCAGGCCCAGCCTGGTCGAAGCTGTGCTCCCAGTTCTCTCCACCGCCCTCGGGACTCTGGTCCCGTGAGCCGGGTGTTAACTGGTCATGAGGTGCCTACCCTCTGGTACCCGTAGGGATGCGAGTGCCAGGCAGGAAGTGAGTCCCTGCTGGGGCCCTGGGGAATGTGTCGGGGTGAGGATGCTCAGCCTATGGGGTCCCTGTGTATGCCAGACAGATCTGGGCCCATGCCCAGCGTCCTGTTTGGCAGGTGCTGGGCTGGGCTGGGCTGGCAGGGAGCCCCTGCGCAGCCTGGGCCCAGGTCTTGGCCAGCTCTGGTTGCAGTGGTCAGCTGGTTCTGTTCTTGGCCTGGTGCCCTTGGACCAGGCTGGCCCTGCTTCCTGGAACCAGTGAATCCTGCTGGCTACTTCGCCTGTGCTGTCTCAGGGGCCTCCGGAGGCGTGGTGCTGTGGGCAGAGTCCTGGGCAGAACAGTCTCATTCTTCTGGCAAGTTCAGAACACAGACCACCTGCCTGAGGCTGCACCGTCCCCACAGCCCCGAGTACTGACCCTTTTGATGGGTGGACCCTGACACCCACAGAGTCCCTGTGCCTTTAACTCCTGGGCCCTGGAAGACGTCACAGCAGCGCCGCTGTCTTTCTTTGTGGTGTCTGGAAGGGACAGAAGTCTGCGTCCCAGATGTCCCAGCGGGGCCTGCCACATGGCCTGGTGCAGTCAGACACCCCAGAAGTGTTCCTGCCTGCGTGGGGCAGTGTGTCCTGCTCTTTAAGAACACCCTGACGCCCTGCCCAGGTGGGCCTGGAGATAGGGGCTGTTTGGAGGGTGCAGCTGGGACCTGGAGCCGGGGAGAGAGGAGGTGGGCAGGAGCTCATCGGAGGGTGACTGCAGGGGCCTGGCCAGGCAGGGATCCCTCCAGCCTGCTGCTGCCTAGAGACCCTCTGTCACTTTTGAACCCGGGAGTCCCTGCAGCCATCTCATCACATGGGGGTTGGGAGAGGAGGACGGGCCAGAAGGGCTTGGCCTTGGGGTGAGCCCCAGAAGGGCTTGGCCTTGGGGTGAGCCCCAGAAGGGCTTGGCCTTGGGGTGAGCCTGGCTGGGTCGCCCGTGGTGGAGGGCACTGCCTTATCTCCCTGGCCCCAGCTGTTGCTGTGAGCCCACGCAGCTGCGCTTATCGGGGGCCACACGGGGTACCCCGAGGGCGCCAGCCTCCTGCCCGTGCCCCCCTCTTTGATGTGGCACAGCTGGTTTCTGTGTCACCTGCTGTAAGGTGGTGAGTTCATACGAACCGGCATCAGAGCAGCTGACCTTGGGGGAGCTGAGGGTGGGCAGCTGAGGTTCAAGGCAGCCTCGGGGTAGTGTCCTGTGACTGTAGGACTTGGGAAGGTCCAGAAGATGCCATTTATTTACTTAAGGTTGCCTTTCGTCTTGGATCTTGAGAAAGGGCACGGGGAGCACAGCCTCACCTGCATCATGGAGTGATCTGCCCCGGGCACCCTGGCTGCCAGTGACCGGTTTTTTTAATGTCAGGAGAGGGCTCTGCCCAGAGTGGTCGTGGTCTGGCACCTGCTGGCTCTGTCCACTTGGCCCTGGCTCAGAACAGCTGGAGCCAGGGAACAGCTGGCTTGGATCTCCAGGGCAGGGTTTTGGGGTGGCCACAAGGGCCTCTCAGGGATTGCTGTGTTGGTGTGGGGTCCAGCGTGGCCTCTGCAGGTTGCCCTCTTTCCTGGGCTCCGAGGGTGGGGGAGGTCCCCGGCTGCGACTCGGCACAATCAGCCACTGCTGGGCTCCTGGCCTCTGGAGGTGGCTGTGGAGATGAGGGCTGGGGCTGCTTGCCACTCTCCTGCCCACCCGCATGGGTAAGTGATGCAATCCGCTGGCCTCTTGCCTCATCCGGAAGGCGGGGAGCCGGAGGAGGGGCTGAGTCACCACGTGGTGACACACTCACCTATCAGGAAATGTGAGACTCCTGCAGACGCAGGACCCGCCCCCCGCCTCGCAGAGAGGTGCCAGGCTAGAAGCGTTGCTGTGTTGCTGGGAGCCCTGGGGAAAGGCCTGCCCCGCTCACCCCCTCCCCCAACGTGTACCCTCTTCGCTGTGTCAGGGAGGGGGCTCAGGGACAAACGTGTCCTTGTAGTAGCCAAAATGACCACCTTCAGCACGCGTCAACCATGCCTTCTCAAGGCAGAGTGACCTGTCGGGCGTTGCAACAGCCCCAGTACAGAGAAGTCAGGGAGCCAGCTAATGAGGTGCTTCCGAAGGAGACGGGGGCCAGGAGGCCCCAGGGCCCGCCTGCCAGGGGGCTTGTGCTCTCCTTCCTCATGGAGTTGTTGGTTTGAAGCCTGTTTCTCAAACTTTGCAAATGTCTCTAGCAGAGAAGCCCCCAGTTGTCTGTCAGGCCCGTCTTAACCTGGCCTTCTGGCAGCTCTGCTGCGTAGGGGATCAGGAAAGGCCAGCTCAGCGCCTCTCAGACCTTCCTGCAGCCCGTGGAGTCCAGCAGGCCTTCCAAGGCCTTGTACTGCCCACCTTACAGCAGTCCCCAGGAAGGGCCTGCCTGGGTTCCCTGGTAGACACTGGGCTGGCTCCACGTGGCCGGGAGAGCTGGCGTCTTGGGCGTGGGGACCCTTGGGAGCGCAGGAGGTCCACAGCCAGGGAGGAGGGAGGAGCCGTGGCCCTTTAGCTGACCTCATTTCAGCAGCTACGCGTAGGACGGCTGTGCCACCGCTCTCACGGGTGGCTCCTGCACACTGAGATGCCCACCACCCACCCTGGCTCAGGGCTGCATGTCCAGTGGGGCTGGCAGGACCAGGTGCAGGCTTGAGCCCGTGCCTCCTGCAGATGCGGTATGCCCGCCTGGCCCTCCGGGGCACTGGGTTTCAGGCTTTCCAGGTGCAGTTGCGCCCGTCTGCAGGAGGTTCCGTGTGGATTTCTGTCTGGGTGTCTGCTAGCCGGGGAGCAGTGGAACTGGAGCGTGCGTCTGTCCCCTGAGCCCACCTGAGTGCCCCGTGTGGGGAGGCCTCCTGCCTCAGGCTCCTGCTCCTCTCCTGCCACCCATGGTGGCTGCGTCCACTTTGTCCTGTTTCCCTCTTGGCCTGTCAGGTGGCCCCCTGTTTCATGGGACCCCAAGGAGCTCACTTGGGGGCAGAGGTGATGCATCCCTCTTCCAGGGGCAGAGTTTCTTTGATTTGAGTCTGAAGCTGGCACTTCCCCGCAGGGGTGGGCTGGGTAGGACGCCGGTGGAGGGCACTTCTGCCCCTCAGGGCAGGTCAGCTCAGTAAAAGGAAGTCCTTTGCCCCAGCCTAGGGCACCTGGGATCCAGCTCTTGAGAGTTTGGTGTTTCCAACCTTTGACCTTCAACCAGGAAGTTGATCCAAACAAGTCCCAGAAAACCTGAAACTGGGGGGAGGGGGCTGGTGGGGACACTACTGTTTCTGTTGGATCTGCCCCAAGCCCGAGGCACCCTGACCTTGCCTGCCCTGTCTCCGCAGTGCTGCTCACGGCCGTGAACTGCTACAGCGTGAAAGCTGCCACCCGCGTGCAGGACGCCTTCGCGGCAGCCAAGCTCCTGGCCCTGGCCCTGATCATCCTGCTCGGCTTCATCCAGATCGGGAAGGGTGAGTGGCGCTGGCCTGAGGCGGTGCAGGCACCTGCTGCGTGGCCCCAGCCAGGTGGGCCCTGCCCTGGCACCATGCTCCCACATGGGGCGAGTCCTCTGGGAAGGTTGATGCCCTTCCAGGTGGGCAGGGAGCCCCTCCAGGTCCCCAGGAAGTGTGTGCGCAGACTGGCACCCGGCGCCCTGGGAGCAGGGCGGGAGTTCCGTTCTCTGCTGTGGGTGCTCACCATCGGGGCACCTTCAGGCCACCTTCAGGCCACCTCTAGGGAGGGCCAGGACACTGTGTCCTGTGTGTGGCCTGCTGCCCTGTGACTGAGCTGGGTTCCTCGTCACACCGCAGGCTGTCATTGGCAGCCCTGGAAAGGGCCTCCAGGGAGCTCTTGTGGGTGTTCCTTGGCAGTTCCTTGTCCCTGGGCCCGCACACCTTGATCCCAGCTGCTCAGGAGGATCTTGAGTTCCCAGCCAGCCTCAGCAACTCAGTGAGGTCCTGTCTCTGAATAGAATCCAAAACAGGGCTGGGATGTGGCACGGTGGTCAGGGCCCATGAGTTCAGTCCTCAGTACTCCCCCTTCCCTCCCCCACCAAAAACCCCTGGAGGATTATTGAGAGCCCCTTGAGAGGGAGTGTCACCCAGGGGGATAGCACGAACCTTAGTGGGGACCCAGCTGGGGGCATATTCTGAGTGGTGTGGAGACCGGGCCTGCAGGTGATGAACACAGTCCTCCTCTGTTTAATGGAAATAAAAGATCAGATGTACAGACAGAGGCCTCTAACATTCGGGGCCAAGTCAGCAGCGCTGGGAGCGTCTCTGTTAAGGTACAGACCCAGGTTTGGTGGTGACCTTATGGCTCTAGGCAAGTCACTGGGTGTCAGAGTCTTTCCCTGGCCACCTTCTCGGCGGCCTGGGAGGAGTGAATGGGAGTCCTGTGCAGGTGTGCTCTGGAGGTGTTGATGGACAGGCCACCTTGCTGGGCCTCTTCCTGGGTGCTCTGACACACAGACGCGCCTGCCACCTCCTGCACCTTTGCTGCGGGCCGGCCCCCTTCCTTTCCAGGCTGTGGAATGTTCCGTAGCTAAGAACCTGCATGGTCTTATCAAACAGTCCTCCTTCGGTTGGTCACAGGCCCTAGACACACACTGAGTGCTGAGGTTGGCCTCGGGCTCTTGGAGGCAGAGGGGTCCCGCTGGCCTTTTCCTGTCACTGTTCCTGGCTCTGGGGGAAGGTCATGAACCCAGGAGTGCCTGGCCACCCCTCCTCCCCACTGGCCTCACAGGACTTCTGCAACTCATGTGCCAGCCCACGAGGACATGGCCCTGCCCCCCTGGGCTGGTGTTCCCATGACCTGTGAGCAGGAAAGCTCTGGACGGCCAGGTGGGGCGCCCAGAAACACCCTTTGGAATGTCCGTTCTCCCCAGGCGACTGGCTGCACGGCAGAATCGTCCTGACCAGTGCTGTTCTGTGGGTGTTAGGACCAGGGGTGCCCCTGGGCGGGGGCGGGGGCCGGGTGCTGCCTGGCCGCAGTTCCACGTAGCCTCTGGGTCTAGTCCACTGCTTTCGGGACGCACGCGACTCAGATGCAGGCAGTCAGCATGGGGTCCGCGCATGGGGCAGGTTAGCCCAGGGCACCAGGTCGGGGAGGGGGTGGCCGACGAGTGTGTGGGGCATGGGCGCCACTTGCCTTCGGCCATCTTGTCAGATGGCCCTCACTCGTGACACAGCCCGATGGCCTTGGCCCAGGGTCAGGCTGTTCCCAGACACGAGTGGGCGGCTGGAACGTGGCTTTTGAGGCCAGAGTGGGAGTGGGAAGGAGGGCCTCTCCCCGCACTGCTGCTGGGGAGGCACAAGGCGGCCATTGTGGCTGCACCGGCCGCGACACCCGGGGCGGGACCTGCTTATCTTTCTTCAGCAGTTCGGCTGGGTGGACGGGGTGGGAGAGGCATTCCTGAAGCCTTTCTCCTCCTCCACGCCCCTCCCGGGAGCAGTCTTGGTCAGACCCCCTCGCTGCCAGGTGTCCTGGAGGTTGAGTGCTGCCCACCCAGGGCCCAGACTCCCACCCGGGTCACCTGCCAAGGGCTGGAACAAGGGTCTATGTGGCACTCCTGGTCTGTGAAGCGAGTGTTCTCACAGAGCTCTTAGGCTGGCAAGGTCCCCCAGGCTCAGAGAAGTGCAGTGGCAGTCCTGTGGCTCCCGAGCAGCCGCTGTGGCATGCAGGGTCACGAGCCCTGAGCCCTGTCCCCGGTCCTTGAGTACCGCTGGGGACGGTGCTGGGGCCTCGAGGCCTTACGGGAGAGTCCAGCTCCAGGTCTGTTCCTGAAGGACCCGAGAGGTTGCCAGCAGCCAGCACCACCCTTCTACCTGACACCGAGGCTCCTGCTGGCTTCCCACCGGGGCCAGAGCACCTGGAGTCCAGCTGGGGTGGCCAGGGTGGGGACCTTACACCCTGGATGCTGAGAGCAGCTTCTGGCAGGGCTGGTTCCAGCCACGGTCCACCTGTGCTTGTAGAAGGCACCTGCCCACAGTCACTTCACCTGGTGGAGAGAGCGAGCCCCCTGGGGTCTCCACAGATAAGGACACTTCCTGTGGGTCAGGGCCGGGCCCTTTGTCCTCTCTGCCTTCAGTCACTTCTCCCAAGCCCACTTCCAACCGCAGCTGAAGGAGTCTTAGGGCTCTATCGTCTGAGCTGGGGACACGACTCGGTCCTCCTGAGACCTGCGCTCGGGGCCACCCCTGCCACCAGGGGTGGGATCCTCAAAGTGAATCCTAAATAGTCCAGGGGCTTCACCGAGAAGAAGCCAGCCACTGCTCAGCCTTAGGCTGCCAAAGCAAAACTTAGAGGGACCCCCCAGGCCAGCCCCCCCTTACAGGGGTCCAGGGAGCCGGTCTGACGTGGGGGCTCAGGTGGACTTGGGTCACTCCAGAACGGGGTTGGCCTGCCCCATGGCCTCCGGGCACCCTCTGGATTCATGCCAGACTCAGGGTCAGACCTCCACAGCGGGTGACCCAGGCCCTGGAGACAGGAGTGCCAGGCCATGTGGCATCCTCATGGGGCCTCTGTGGTCGAGGAAGCTACTGCCCAGGGAGGCCGCTCTCCTGCTGGTGCTCCTCCAGAGCTCTGAAGTGCGTCCTTGCATCGCAGGAATGACGGACGCGGAAGTCACATGTACCACTTGTGCCAGCAGGGTGGGATCAGAGGAAGATGGGCTTCCGATCCAGTGCCCTGGGCCAGTCAGCACAGGATGGAGGCTGGGGAGCCCGAGCAGGACGAGGGGCGGTCACTGCCATGGCCCTGGCAGGGGCCCTCTACTGCCCTTGGCTGTGGATTGGGAAGGGCCTTCCTACTCAGGGTTGCTGTGCAGAGCTGCTCTCCAGGCGAAGGGGCTGGTTCCTACGTGTGGTGCTGGGAGTCAAAGCCAGGGCCGCGGATGCCAGGCAAGGGGTGTGGCCTTGAGCCACAGTCCCCGCTCCTAGACTTCCAGAAGCCAGTGCCACTCACTGTGGTAGACACATGCCATCTGGTCCCAGCCGTAATCCCCAGAACCAGGTTTCTGCCGTGTCCACGTTCCCAGACTTAAGGCGAAGGCAGAGTGATGTGGGCCTGCACTCAGGCCAGGGGACAGGCAGAGGGAGCCCTGGGGTGGCCGGCGCTGCGCCTTCTCCTGAGCCCGCTGAGCCAGCAGCCACACAGAGCAATGGAGGCCCTGAGTCTGAGGCCCCACCAGTGTCCACCTAGCACCAGCCAAGGGTCAGCCCATCTTCCAGATAGGGAAGTGCCCAGAACTAGGGTGGCATGTCCGAGACACAGTGGGGGCACCTTGGCCTGTTGGTGTGTAGGATCCCCCAGCCTGGGTGGCTGCGAAAGCCGATGTTTATCTTAAGGCAAAAGGGCTGCTTCCATGGACTGCAGATGCCCGTCTGCCTCGTCCTGGAGGTCTCAAGTCCAAAGAAAAATTGAAACCAGAGTCCTTGGGGAGGGTTAGGTTTAGGGTTCCAGCTCGGGGGCAGGGGGGGGGGCTCTAGGCGTCCCTGAGCCGTGGCTGCTTCGGCCCAGATCTGCCTCCGTCTCTCCGTGCCAGACGTGGTGGGGACACCCGCTCAGACCATCTCTTCAGATAGGGCTCCCCCTGCCCTCAGGTGGCAAGCCTCGCGCTCAGCGCCTTCCTCTGTCTGACCGCCGTGCTGGAGCCCAGAGGCAGAGTGAGGGACAGGATGGCAGCTGTCCCCAGTGGAAGCGTGGCCTTCCTGCTGCCGGGGATCGAGGTCCCCTCCCTGCAGCAAGTGTTCCTGGGCTGGGCTGGGCTGGGGTTCTGAGGCTCCCCCCGCCTCCGAGCACAGGGGTGAGCTCAGAGCTGGCCATCTCCAGATCACGGGTTTCCCGGGCCTGGGCCCTGGCAAGCTGTAGCCAGGGCTTTCCTCGACACTAAGGGCCAAGCAGATCTCGGGGGACACAGTGGCCATGGGGAAGCTCTGTCCGGAGTCAGGGCCACAGGGCTGGCCACGTCCCGGGTGGGAAGAGTCTGACTCTCAGTCCCATTCCCTTATGCACTTGGCCATCAGAGGACCCTCCCTTCCTGGCATCTGTCAGGGGCAGCTCCCTGTCCCCCGGGGTGGGTGGTTCCCATGGCTGCAATGTGTGACAGGGACTTGGACTCTTTCCCTGAAACCTCTCTCCTGGGTCTCTGCACACGCCCACCCTCGCCCCAGTTCTCAGGCCCCACCAGCTCCCAGGGCCACGCGGCCTCTGGTTTGCTGGGCTCGGCTTCCTCCAGCCCCTCAGGAAGGCGCGTTTTATGGGTGGGGATGGGGACGCCCAGGGGAGGGACTTAAGGGGCTGCCTGGCGTGGAGTCGCTGCCCCTGGGTGGCCAGAGCAGGAGAGGAGGCAGTGAGGCCCCGGCACCTCAGCGTGGTGGGAGCTGCTTGGTGCTGGGCCCACTTTCTCCTTTCTGTCCGTTCTCTGACCTGGCAGCGCAGCCCTTTCCATCCATGGGAACTTGACCGCCGGCAGGCTGTGGGAGTCACCTCTGCCTGGCCTGGGCAGTGGGGGACAGGCCAGTGTGACCCAGCCTGGGGCTGCGCCATGCGTTTCCAGACATTGAGCAGCCACTCTCACCTGAACCCTTCTGTGTCACCCAGTTGTGGCAACCTGGAAAGTGTCCAGGCATCGCGGGTGGGACTGCCATTCTGGGGTCATCTTCTCAGGAGGGTGCATGTCTCCCATTTCTCCTTGGGGCCAGCACCAGCCTCCCACAGAACCGCTGCCACCCTGCGTGGGGGGCCTTGCCGCCTCTGGCTGCCCTGGAGAGGGCAGGAACCAGCCTCCCTGAGCAGAGCTGTGGCTGAGCGGCACAGTTGGGGCAGGTAGAGCCCTGGCTGTGTACGGTCACCCCCAAACCACATCAGGCCATGCCAGCCCCAGCCCAGGGACAGCCCGGGGTCCAGACCAGCAGACCTAGCACCACCCTGTGGCACCTGTGGGGAGAAGGTAGCCTGTGATTGGTCAAGTGGCCAGCGGAGCTGTGGCCTCCCTCCTGGGCCAGTACCCAGTGTAGACGGAGGCTGGCCACACTCCTGGGCTCTGCTGCTTGCTGAGGTCCTTGAACACCTGTTGCACCCCATGCTCCCTTCTGTCCCTGGTCAGGCAGGGCAGCCAGCATCCAGGGCCTCAGTGTCAGTTGGGGGCCCACACCAACAGTCTTGGGCAGCGCTTCACCCCTCGGGGGACTTGACCCTGCCCTCCCACTGTCTCCCACCCGATGGCAGGTGGGAAGCTGGGGCTGAGCAGCTGGGCTCAAAGGTATGTGGTCTGGGGTACTGTCCCATTGCACCTGGACAGCCACACTGTCCCAGGAACAGAGCCACATGGCTGGTTGGGAGGAGCTGGTCCAGCTTCCCGCAGGAGCCAGTGAGATCTGCAGCCAGCGTGCGCTTGGCCGTCTCAGGCCACCAAGTCGAGCCGAGTCCCAGGAAGTCCTGTCCTGTAGTAGGAACTCTGTCCCTGGGGACCATCTTGAGTGATGATTGCACCCTGAGCTGGTGGCCAGAGTGGTGTGCCACATGGGCACTGGAGTCACCAAGGTCTTGGGCTGCAGGTATCCGGCTCTGACTAGGAGACCTCAGCATGTCCCCAGCCCCATGTCTTGTCCTTAGTGGGTAAGAGGCTGCTGTTGTCCAGTCTGGAGGGCAGTGGTGGTGACCCGTTGGTAAGACAGGGATCCGAAGTGTCCTGTGTGCTGGCTTGGTCCAGTGCTGCTCACCAGCCGGCAGGCATGTGTCCCTAGTCCCTGGGGCTTACTCAAGCTGGCAGATCCTCACCCCTGGCACGTGGCCCATGCCTTAGTTTCCCCACTTGTAGGACAGATGCCCTCCCTCCCAGCAGAGTGTGAGGGTCCAGGCGCTGGGAACGTGGCTGGGTCCTTAGATGTAAGGTACTCCAGAATATTCCACTGGAGAGCAGGTGGGTTAGGACCTAGAGGGGCTGAGGCGCTGTTGAAAGTGCCTGTCCTGAAGCCTGGCCCCTGACCACAGTGTAACCAGGATAGCAGGAGGCTGTTCCGGGGGAGGGGGGCTGGGTGAGGTTTTCTCAGGATGCCAGTCCTGGTGGCAGGTGGGTCCTCAGCCTCCCGGCCCAGTTACGGGAGACTCCCAGGCCCAGAGCGCTGTAAGAACGTGGACCCAGAACAGGAGTGCTGTCCACCCTCCAAGGGGCCCCAGCAGTGTCAGCTGCAGGAGGTCCTGTGCTGCCTTTGAAGCACAGGCTTCAGGTGGGTGAATGACAAGTGGACCCTTCGTGGGTCCACCCAGTGTTCTCTCCTGTCAACCTACTGGGGTCCCTTGGCAAATGGGGTGGTCACCATCATTGAGCCAAGTGGTGACCTTGACCAGAATGGGCAGCAGTGGCCAAGTCTGCAGAGCTGCCTGTCCTCTCTTGAAGTGGCCCAGGCTCTGGCCAGGCCATGCCCCTCCATGTCAGGGAGGGGCTCAGCAGGCTGTTCAGGTGGTGGCAGGGAGAGGCCCCGCCCGGCCGTCGGCTTGTTCCCGTGCCCCGCTCCGTGCCCCGCTCCTCCCGGCAGGACCCTGCCTGGCATCCTTTGACCAGTGTTCCTCTGTGGTCTTTGCCAGGTGGCGTGTCTAATCTGAACCCAGAGTTCTCCTTCCAAGGCACCAACCTGGACGTGGGCAACATCGTGCTGGCCTTGTACAGTGGCCTCTTTGCCTACGGAGGATGGTAGGTTCCAGGACGTCTGGCCACTTCAGGGTCTCACAGCACTCAAGTGTGCAGCTGGGGACAGGAAGGACAGACACTGGAAGCCCTCTCAAGGGCACCCCAGGCCGCCCTAAAGGGCGTGAGAGGACTCCTGTGTCCCTCTCTGTGTCCTCGGAACAGGCACAAGGTAGAGGCTGGAAGCCTCCCCAACTGGGACCTGCCTGCAGCTCTGGGGCCAGCAGGTGGGAAGGTGCTAGGGGGAGGTGAGTGGTGGGCAGGGATGCGGGAGAGCAGGAGCAGGTGGGAGTGACCGCCAGGTGCCCCCAGGCCCAACTGGGCAGACGCAGAGCCATCCACCTGGAACCCAGGCACTGGCCTTCCCTGCTCACCGGGGCTGGCTCTGATGGGTGAGCGAGGGGGCGTGCAGGGGTTATGGGGCTCCCTGCTGGGTTTGTGTCTTTTTCCTAATGGTTGTGGGGTGACATAATGAAACCTGATTTCTAGGAATTACCTGAACTTTGTCACAGAGGAGATGATCAACCCCTACAGGTACGTGGAGGGGTGAGGGACAAGTCACAGGGACAAGCTGGTTCCATCTAAACCCTTTGGTGGGCTCGGCTCGGCCTCTGGGGAGCTGTGCCAGGTGCTCACAATTAGGGTGACGGGGCGGGGCTGGCTTCTGGGCCCCCGTCCACCTGTGTGAACTGGAATAAGCCTTGCCCTGGGAGTGGACCACATGTGCCCCTGGGACACCTGTCCTGCATTTGATGCCCTCGGCAGCCCCAGGAACACAAAGGGTGGTCCTCTGTCCTCTGGACCACTCCAGCGTGTGTGTGAAGGTCCCCCTGCCCCCGGAGGTGGCTCTCAGCCCTGGACTCCAGGGTCTCCTGGGTGGGGACTGGTCAGGGCTGTGGGCCTTCAGACAGGACCCCATCCTCAGGGGCAACGAGGCAGGCGGATGGAGCCACTAGCCAGGCGGCCCAGCTCCCCAGGCCCAGGCATCTGGCCCCTCCCTGCCTGAGAAGCCAGCTGAGATGTGGGGACACGCAGGGCTGTGCTCCAGCAACCAGTCCCTCCCTGTTGTAGGAACCTGCCCCTGGCCATCATCATCTCCCTCCCCATCGTCACCCTGGTGTACGTGCTGACGAACCTGGCCTACTTCACCACGCTGACCACTGAGCAGATGCTGACATCCGAGGCTGTGGCCGTGGTAAGACAGCCGCCCGCCTCCCCGGGGTCAAAGAGCCCGAGACCAGGCTGTCCCCGCATGTAAGCCTCTCACCTACCTGGAAGGGCCATGCAGCTGTCCTCAGTCTCCATGGAAGGTGTCACAGGAGGGCTCCCCACGCTGGCCAGAGGTGTGGCCAACCTTGGCTGCGTTGAAACCACAGGGGGCTTTAAAACAGACGCCAGGCGGCCTCCACCATGATCAGCGTGTCTGGGTGCTCCTGGTCAGGTGGACAGACTGCCCCTGGGCTGTGTCCTTGGCCTCTGTGGCTCCTGCCCCTTGCCCTTCCATGCGGGGGAGCAGGGCGTCCTTGCTGTGGCTGAGTCTCACTTGATTTAGATCCCGCGCTTGCAGAGACCCCGTGCCAGGCCCTGTGAGAGTCCCCAAGTGAGGCAGGCAGATCCTCGTCCCCAGGCCCGTCCCCAGGCCGGCACCTGCTCTTGGTCAGGCGACAGGCCAGCTGGGCGTGGCCAGGCAACCCAGGGAGGCCCACCAGAGGGCCTGCCATCAGGAGCAGGCAGAGCGCCACCTTGTGAGCAGGACTGGGACAGCCAGGGAAGGGCCACTGTCCTGAGCTGTCCCCACAGTCCAGAACTGATCTCCGGGATGGCTGTGTGTGCACAAGCCAGGATTAGGCCAGGTGGGTCCTGGGTCGGCCCTGGTGAGGTCCCAGGGCTCACGTCCTTGTGTCCCTGCAGGACTTTGGGAACTACCACCTGGGAGTCATGTCCTGGATCATCCCCGTCTTTGTGGGCCTGTCCTGCTTCGGCTCTGTCAACGGGTCCCTGTTCACGTCCTCCAGGTGAGTGCCCGCCTGGGGTCGAGGGAGTCGCCCCGGCTGCCAGCCCCTCATCTTCTTTACAGCCTGTGCTTTGAAGTCCTGTTTGTGGCGTGTAGAGGTTGGGATGGCAGGGAGACGGGAAGTGTGACCTTTGCCTTCTCCCTCCCTGGAGCTGGTGTGACTGCTGGGTCCTGCAGGCCCCTTCCTGGACTGCAGGAGTAACACCAGGAGGGCTGGAGGGAGGCCACCAGGGCTCCTGCCCCTGCCCCTGGGACCCAACTTGCTGGGTGCGGTCCACCCTTCTGCCGTCTGTAGGCACCTCCATCTGCGGGTGGGGTCGTGGGCCTGACTGCTCACTGCTTTCTGCACAGGCTGTTCTTTGTGGGGTCCAGGGAAGGCCACCTGCCCTCGATCCTGTCCATGATCCACCCACAGCTCCTGACACCCATGCCGTCCCTTGTGTTCACGGTAAGCCTGCCACACAGCCCTACACCCTCCGCCCTGCCACCCGTGTTGTCCAGCTGTACACAGTGGCGCTCTGGGCTCTGGAGCAGCCAGAGCGCCACCTTGTGAGCAGGACTGGGACAGCCAGGAAAGGGCCACTGTCCCTGAGCCGCGGACTGTGACTGGGATGCTGCAGGGGCTGGGAGCTCTAGTCAGCCAGGCCCCGGGCACCGAGAAGGCACTTTAAGTCTGCTCACGTGCTGGTGTAGACAGCCCCACTGCCGTGGCTGTCCGGGCACCTCTGGGGCTTGGGGCATGCACCCAGGACTCGTTAGTGGGTCCACCGTGCACTTTTCTCTCCCCTTCTCTGAACCTGTTTGTTAGTTCTCTGCTTCTGTGTGACAGCCACCCAATCCGGGCCCAGAGCACAAAGCCTTTACCTTCCCACATTCCTGCAGCGGCAGTGCGGGCTGCCCACCTTGGTCTCTCAGAGCTTGATGTCTGCAATTGATTGGCATGCTGCCCTCCAAGGGCATGGCAGGGGCTGTGGACAGGAGGCCAAAGGTTGTGGGCACACGGGCTTCTCCACAGGGAGCTTGGGGGCACCCTCGCGATGGGACGCTGGCTCCCGCTGCACATATGATCCAGAGAGCAAGACGGCCGTGTGCTTTGTGGCCTAGCCCTGGCCGGGTCTGCTGTCCTTGCTGCCTGGGCCTGTTTGTTAAAGTGAGTCCATAAGTGCCATTCCTCGGGGAGCAGGGTTAGGCTCCACCTCTTAAAGAGAGAAGTATCACAGAAGTTCTGGACATGCTTAAAAGGGCCAGCTTGACCTTGGTTTTGAAATGGCCATCTGTGTAGTGTGAGTGCTCTGTACTTATTATGATCCCCCGTTGGTGGGTGCATAGTTTAGTTCCAGGTTGCTGCTTTGACGCAGGGTGTGCGAGAAGTGTTGGGTCCAGGCATCTGTGCCTGCTCTGTGGGCAGCACCTCCACTGTCCTGGAAGCCCATCGCTCTCCTGGCCTCTCTGCACCTCACACGACCCCAATGTGCTGGAGGCTGAGGCTGGTCACATCCTCCCTGTATCGGGCACGGCCCTGCCCAGGGCTCAGCCAGCCCCTTTCTCCTGGCAGTGCGTCATGACCCTGCTGTACGCCTTCTCCAAAGACATCTTCTCCGTCATCAACTTCTTCAGCTTCTTCAACTGGCTCTGTGTGGCCCTGGCCATCATCGGTATGGTCTGGCTCCGCTTCAAGAAGCCTCAGCTGGAGCGGCCCATCAAGGTGAGCGCCTGGCGGTGGGTCCAGCCTGCACCCCGGGCAGAGAGCAGGCAGGGCTGGAGTGTCCCGAGGAGCCTGAGGCAGGAGCAGGACCCGCAGGACCTCCCAGTCTCCACCTTCCCCCAGCACAAGGGCATTGCTACCCTCTGGAGGCTTCTGAGAACTGCAGTCAGCTTCGCGATCGTGAGCGGTGGAGGGGCACGCAACTGGGAGTCCTGGGAGCAACAGGTGGCCACTGGCAGCAGCTCCTGTCACTTGGCCAGCTCCCTTTGGGACTAGGTCATTATAACTGGCCCCTGCCAGGCCTTGCCCTGTCCCCACCCCACCCCAGCTGTCTTTAGAGACGGGAAGAGCCTGGCTCTCTGGAGGGAGCCCTGTGACAGTGCCCAGGACGCCCTGGTCTCCCCTTGCCCTGGGCCTGGGAGCTCAGGTAGCCAGTGTAGCACCTTTTAACTTGTGGTTAAGGTTCCACCACAGGAAGGCTGGCCCACAGGAAGGCTGTCGGAGGAGTGGCCAGCTAGACACCCCACCCTTCACAGGGACCAGCCCAACAGCTGGGGCAGGTGTCCACAGGAGGGCTTTCTTCAGGCCCCAGCACTAGCCACATTGGCCCTGGAGAGCAGGCACCAGGTCCTGCGGGCACGCTTTCCCAGGGGACTGGGCACTGTCGTGGAGTGGGTTCCCTTGAGCCTGGCCGCCTGTGGGTGCAGGACAGCAGAGCTCTCAGAACAGGCCTGTCGGCACCGCCCACAGATGGGGAGAAGCCTGGCTCTGCTGCCCAGGCCTCTACGGCCCCCGCCTTCTCCGTGCCCCGGCTTCTGCCCCAGCCTGTCTGCAGGCTGCGGGTTTGGGGCAGGAGTACCTGGTCCATCCACAAAGGGTCCTCTAGGCAGGCAGGACTCCGTGCTTGCTGGTGGGTGGCCAGGCCTTGCCAGAGGCTCCGCGTCTGTGATGTGGGAACCAGCAGGCCCCCCTCCGCCCCCCGGAGCCTGGCTGCTTGTTTTCATTCCTCTGCTGACTTGGGGCGATTCCATGCCTGGTGCCTGTGCCAGGGCCGGGGTGAAGTGCTACGGACGTGGGCTCAGTTGGTGCCCCGGGGCCGACCCTGCGGAAGGTGCAAGTCAGCGTCTGCCCTGTCAGCACAGGCACTGGCCAGGGCTGTGGGTGGGGCGGGCGCGGATCCCGGGGAGGCTCCAGGGTGGCCTGCCGCTGGCCACAGGACATGGGCTGGTGGAGGTCACTGCGGGGTGTGGTGGTCGGGAGGAGCCCAGGCCCAGCTCCTGACGCCCTGCTGCGTGCTGTCCCCAGGTGAACCTGGCCATGCCAGTCTTCTTCATCCTGGCTTGCCTGTTCCTCATCGCCGTGTCCTTCTGGAAGACACCTGTGGAATGTGGCATTGGCTTCGCCATCATCCTCAGTGGGCTGCCTGTCTACTTCCTCGGGGTCTGGTGGCAGAACAAGCCCAAGTGGCTCCTCCAGGGCATCTGTGAGTGTCCAGGCTGCTGGCCGAGATGGGCTGGCACCAGCCAGGCCTTTGGCCACTGCAGGGTGTCAGTGGTGAGGACACCCACCTACTCCCAGCTCAAGAGCTGGGCAGCAGCTCATCTCAGAAAGAGGGGTTCCCGAGAACCAGGCTGCTGTTGCCAGAGAGGCGCCCACTGTCACTCACCGGCCTTGACACACTGCCTGACCTTCCTGGGCAGAGCAGGAGAAGGTGGTGGGCCCTGTCCTCACCGTGTGGAAGGCCAGGCTTGAGAGAGTCCGCACAGGCGGGCCTTGCCAGCACCTTAGCGCTGGGTGATGTAAGATTCTAGGGTGGCCCCTGTGCAGGCGAGGAGACCCCACACCAAGGGCTGAGCCACCCATCATTTGAGCAGGACACTCCCTCCAGCCCGGGTCCCTGTGGAATCTCATGCAGGGTCACACCCAGAGCAGACTTAGGACAGAAACCTTGTTCTGAAACCACCAGTCTCCCTCCCCAGGCAGGCTCTGCGTAGAAAGTGCCAGGGCGGCCCTGGAGGTGGCTCTGGGGGGGGCGCTGGCCGGGCTTGTGTGAGGCCCTGGGTTCAGTCCCCAGCACCACAAAGAAAAAGGAGACAGTGCCAGGGGCCCCTCGCAGGCAGCCCGGTCTCAGGGCACAGTGGTGACATGGGCAGTGTGGGCCAGGCACACGCACAGTGGCGAGGCCACCAGGTTGCTCTGTAGTCACAGGGCTCTGGGGTGGGCAGCTGCACCTGCTCCCACACTCCCCGCCCACTGGCCCGGGCAGTCTGGCATGACGGAGAGTTGCAGAATGTGCTGCTGGCCAGGAGGCCCCGGGGGAGGCGCCAGTGCTTACCACACGGTCTGGAGGGCCACACAAAACTTGGAGTTCCTGTCCTCCTGCAGCGTGGCACGGTGTGGGGACAGGTCGGGTGGGAGCTGGGCTTGTGGGTCCTCGCCTCAGCCCGTGGCCTGGCTGCGCTCACTCTGTGTCCTCTCCCCGCAGTCTCCGTGACCGTCCTTTGCCAGAAGCTCATGCAGGTGGTCCCGCAGGAGACCTAGCTGGTGGCAGACGCTGCGGCAGGGAGCACGCGAAGGCCACCCGCAGACAACGCGCCCTCAGGAAAGCAGCTCCCGGTCTTCCTCGTCCCCTCACCGTCCCTGCCCGGGGCGGCACCCACAGCAGCTGTGAACACTCTGGTACGAATGGTGTCCTGGAAGCTGGATGTCCCTGGTGGCTCCCGGGCACGGTGCCAGCAGTGAGCTGAGGCAGGCCTGGTGGCTCCCCCGTGGGGCCCACCGCCTTCTCCCTTCCCTGTTCATCTGCATTCAACTTAAATTTGGGGTCAGGTCAGTGCCACCAACTGACTGCTGTTTAGAGAGGTCAGGAGGAGGTGGGAGACATCTCGACAGTGCTAGCTACCTTGTGCCTCCAAGGGACCCGACGCTGGGGCTGCACAGGAGCACTGAGGACCTGCACTGGCGTGGCAGTGCCTGTCTGGCGGGCGCACCTCCGGCTGCTCCGGCCCTCCTCCCTCCAGCGCGGGTGTAGGGCTGAGAGAGAAGAGCCCTGGCTGTGTCTTCGCCTTAAAGTCTCGATGGCTCCTGCCCTGCGAACCCTAGAGAACGAACGTTCAGCAGCAAGAGCCAGCCCTGCCTGTCCCTGGGGTTGACCATGGGGCTGTGTGCATCTAGGGACAGCCAGGAAGGCAGGCAGGGCACGGCTGGGGAGCCCAGCCTCTGCCTCCCACGCCTCCCACTGACCACACAGCAGCCCTTGAGCAGCCTTGGGCTGGCTTCCCCCGTGGCCAGGGTGTCGCCTTCCCCTCACGTGCCCCATCCCACTCTCAGAAGCCTTCCTGGGCTCTCCTCTCTCTGCCTCCGGTGGGCTTTGTCTTTGTTGTGCCCCGGGGCACTTGAGGCCTGGCCAGCACATCTGGCCACACTGTTGTTGCTGAGCTGTCAGGAAGTCCCTGCAAGTCACCCGCAGAGAGCGGTTCCTCTCTTCAGGTCAGACTGAAGGTTCTCTGAGGCCTGTGAAGAGCTCAGCAGGCTCCTGTCTTGCACTGGGGGCTCAACCTCAGCTTCAGACCACTGACCCCCCAGGAGGAGGGCAGTGCCAGCCACTTGGCAGGGTGCAGCGTGTTTCTGGGGTACGGTGTGGCTAGGTCGTGGGACCCCCACCTGCGAGGCAGGTCAGAGGGGTCCGTCTGGTTCTGGGGCCTGTGTCCATGGTGCTGACTCTGACTTGCCGCCTAGTGTCCAGGAGCATAGTAGGACCATGGCCCATCTGGGAAGTCTCTGCTGTCCAGCCAGGCATGGCCGACAGTCCCCAGGGCCTAGGATAGCAGACCCTGGCCTGACAGCCTCTGTTTGTCCCCTGTCTTTCCACCCCTCCTAACACTTACTAACGTGGAGGTACGGTTGGCACCGTGTTTATTTATTTCAGGTGGCCGGCTGGAGCCGTGGTGTATTGTCACCGCGTCTGTATCGGCCACCTTGGCCATCCACTGTGGCGTCCACAGAGCTAGTGACTCGTGGCTGGTACATCTTCTGTTCTGTGTTAATGCTAACCTGTTACACTGGGCTGGTGGGGTGGGGAGTTCTATTTGTGGGGTCTTTTTGTTTTTAAAGAAATGCGACAGATTCTAAAATTCGCTGGTGCTTCTGTGTTCTTCTTCGGGGCCACGTTGGGTATTGGGATGTTCCAGGTCCCCCCCCAATCTCGCTCTCACAGTCATCAGGGTCTGGACAGGTGTGTGTGGCCCCGCACAGTGCGGGGGTGTCAGGACCCTTACAAGAGTGGAACCCCGGGGTGGCCAGGGCAGGAGCAGGGCAGGGACTCCAGCTGAGGGATCCCTGATGTGGAGGGACCCGCCCTGGGGGCCACAGTGCTGGTGTGGTGCACCCAGATGGGGCCAGGACCTGCTCTGGGGACCTTGTCCCAGAATGGTGTGGGGAGGGTGTAGGGCTTGGGTCACAGGCCCAGTCTGCCATTAGGGTAACAGAGCTGGGTGCCTCCTCATGCAGCGGGACTTGAAAGTGCCTCCCACGCAGGGAGGATGGGCACAGAGAGGCCTCGGGCAGGTGCCCTCCCTCCACTTTGTGAAATGAAGAAGTGGGCCTGTCCACGCCGGTCCCGCTGCCCACCTCCAGGCAGTTCCTGGTCCACCTTTTATTTGGCCCCCAGCCCTGACACCAGCCCTGGCGCCACCTGGGGCAGGAGACTGGCCACGAGCCCCACTTCTCTGGGTGACAGCCCAGTGGGCAACTGGCCACCCCAGCTGCCGGTGGCCATCCTCGAGCAGCGGCCACCCCCCTCCTGCTGGGCTGGCGCCTTGGGCACTCCTGAGGGGCTGCCAAACCCCCTGCTCTGCGGCACTTCCTGATGACGCCCACTGTGAGCTTAACACCCCGTGCGCCTGGACAGTGGCCCAGGTTGAGCAATCCCCACCCATGTCCTCAGGAGCAGCTGGCTAGGAGAAAGCCCCTTTCCCAGGTGACCTAGGGGAGGGGCAGGGCCTCCCTGGGACAAGACCAGTCCTAGACCCTCAAGCGCCTTCTCTGCCGGGACCAGCTATCCCCCCAGGCACCATGTGGCAGAGTGGAGAGCCCCCACTGCCCCACAGCCCTGCCCCTCCCCTCAGCCTGGCATCAGCCTGGTCAGCAGGTAGCCACTCACCCTGCCTGTGTTGTCCACTCGCAGGACAGGACATGGGCTCCGGCCAGCAGCCTGGCTGCTCCCTGGCACCGGTAACTGGCCCCCGCTACCCCTCAGGTGCCCCTGCGGCCCAGTGCCAACTGCTGGGGCCCAGAGCTGGGCGGCAGTGCTGGCTTCCTCTTCAAGAGCTTCACCAAGACTTGATGACCGGCCCTGGGATACCCCCGCCCTCTCAGGACCCTGCAGGAGGGAGTGGGCTGACCTTGGAGGGGAACCTGAAGGCCAGCCTGGCTGGAGGAGCTGGGTGGGAGCTGGCCTGGTGGACTTGTCGCCCCCTCCTGGGGCAGGGCGGGCTGCTTGGGTAGGCGCGAGGCAGGGGTTTTGAGAAGGGAAACAGCAGGTTTTATGAAGGAGAGACTTCCTGCAGAACTACCGCAAGGAATGGAGATGTCTCACTGGGGCTCGCTGCTCCAGCCAAGTGTGAGCTCTCTGTGACCAAAATGCCCGGCAAGAACAATTAAAGGAGGGAAAGTTTACTGTGGCTCACAGAATCAGTCCATAGATGGCCGACTCCATTGCCCAAGGTACAGCGGCCAGGGCCCTCGTGGCGGAAGGGCCTGGTGGAGGAGAGGAGAGCAGCTCTCTGCAGGAAGCCCCCGGGAAGGGGCGGCAGGGCACATGTGCCCTTGCAGGGCCTGCCCCCAGCGACCAGCTCCAGCCATGCCCACCTGCCAACAGTGGCCACCCGCCACTCCAGTCACCCTGGGTGAGCTCAGGAGCCCCAGGGACCAGACGCCTCTGGATGTGCCTGCAGGGACACAGGAGCTTTAGGGCACACCTCATGTCCACACCCTAAACTGTGAGGCCTGGGAGGTCTCCAGTTCCAGGTGAGGGGAGGGAGTGGGGCCAGGAATGGGGGTGTGGTGAAGGGCCCTCGGGAGGCGTCTCCTGTGGCCAGTGGGTCCCGCAGCTTCAGGCTCTGCGAGTTCCAGGCTCTGGGGAAGGAGAAGAACTGAACCAGTTTGCTGTAAACCCAGCAGGAGGCTGAGGCAGGAGGAGCGCAACTACCAGGTGCTGAGACACTCAGTGAGGCCCTTTCTCTAAATAAAATACAAAATAAGGCTGGGGTGTGGCTCAGTGGTCCAGTGTCCCTGAGCTCAATTTCCAGTACCACACACACACACAAAAGCATTGTGAGCATTGTGTCATTGGTCACTGATGAGACAAAGGAGTGGAAGCTGGGGGTCTGAGTAGACCCCGGCCCATGCACTCCACCGTCCTTCCCCCACCCCCCCACCCCCAGCTCCAGCTGGCTCCGATACCAGGAGAATTTGGAAGACGGTGGATGTGAGTCCTTGGTGCCAGGCAGGGGCAGCTCTCCTCCCCAAAGAGTGGGGTCAGGGCTTGGGGCTGGACTTGCGGTGTACCCCATGAGGCTTCTACCAGGCATCCCCTGAAATGAGAGCAGGGTGTCCTCGGCCCCCACCACCCTGCCCATCCCTCGGCAAGTGTCAGCAAGCCCTGTTCTTTGAGGACTCAGCCCACGGAATCCAGGTGGACAGGAAGCCCAGCCGCTGCTAGGACCAGCGTGACAGGAGAGGCACCAAGAAGCGAGAGAGCCCTGACTAGATGGGAACAGCACAGGAATGGCACCACCCTGCCAGCTCCCCGACTGTCACTGATGTGAAGGGTCTGGACGCTGTCCACAAAGCCACCTGGAGAAGCTGGGCCTGTCCCCCCAGGCAGGGCTGCTGATGGAGGTGGGTGGAGAGATCCGGCCTGCTGCACCAGGGCCTCAGGGCTACTCTCAGCTCCCACGGGCAGGGCAGGAGATGGGGCTGCCCGAGCAGGTACAGGATGCTGCTGGGCGGGCCTCTCCTGTGCACCCCCAGCCATCGGGCAGGTAGCAGGGCTGCAGTGGGGAGACCCCCACCTGGGGTGCTGTCCGAAGCCCGCACAGGCCTGAGCTGTCAGCAGGCATGAGGCTGGGGGTGGGCAGTAGGGCTAGGTCCTGGTGGAGAGCGTGGACTGCTGACCTCTAGCAAGTGGGGAGACTCGGGAACCTCCCTGTCCCCAGGACCCCAGAGAGGGAAACCAGCACCTACTCTGGTCCTCCCGGCCTTGGGCAGGGCCTCCCAGTCCCCTGAAGAGTCTGTCAGCCCTCCACCTGCTTCCAAAACATCTGCAGGGGTGGTGACAGTGGAGAGCACCCTCCAGCTCCTGTAGGCGCGCTGCAGGGAAGAGTCCCGCAAGCCCTGCCCCTTCCAGGCTGAGGCGCCGCAGCAGAGCGCTCCAAGGGGCTCCCTCAGGTCTACGGCTGGCTGGGTGGGCAGGAGAGGCCACCCTCTAGCACCTCAGCCAGAACCTGTGGGGCCCACTGGTCGCTCCTGAGAAAGTGAACTGACCCTGCGGTCGTAGAAGGGGAGAGGGTGATGTTGCCCCACTCTACGGAGAAACTGGGGCCCCTAGACACCCCTTAGCCTACCCGAGAAAACAGGGACTGAGAGGTGGGATTGGACCCATGTGTGTTGGACACAGAACGCAGTGTGGAGCCCCACACCCTGGCACCGGAAGACCTCGGCCCCAGGAGAGGCGCCTGGCCCTGCACCCTGCGGGCCTGCCCCACCTCCAGCCCACCCTCTTCCTGGGCCTGGCCTCAGCGCCCATCTTGCAGCCCACGTGCATCTGGTCCTGTCTCCAGGGAACAGGCAAATCCTCCCCCCAGAAGTATCTTGGGCTCCGTCCAAGGCTTCATCCTCCTGCCAAGCCCAAATCCCCGACTCTCGTGCGCCCGAGGCCCGCCCTGCTCACTTCCTGAGGTCCAGTCCCAACAAGACCCAGTTCTTTCCCGTGAAGCCAAGAGTGACTAAATTCTGCAAGTAGGGGCTCAACTGCATGATTACAGTCAGCTGCTTCAAACACGTGCCCCCAGTGAACAGGGCCTTCACAAACTCGTCTCTACCTGTTCATTAGGGAGCAAATCCTCTGGGTCAAATAGGGTAATGGAAGGTTCCAGAAGTCCCCTCTCCCTTGCTGACATTCGCCAGGGTGGGAGGTGAGCAGGCACGTGGCCCAGGTCTCACCCCAGGAAGGCTTTTACCCTTCCAGTGAAAGCCCACAGACTTTCCCGAGGTGTCCAGCCCAGAGCCGCCCTCGAAGCTCTCTACAAGAAGCCCAGCAGCCCGAGGCCATCTGTCCTCAGTAGGAGGCTCCAGTTAGTCCCACCAGCTTGTCAGAATCCCCTAATCCCAGCAGCTCCTGACTCAGGTTGGGGAGGGGCTGGGGAAGCTCAAGACGAGATCACTTTGGCTGGGTGGCTGGCACACAGGCTGCCGTCCCCCGGTTCTCCAAGGAGGCTTCGCCAGGCAGGTCCTCCTCGGCACAGTGCACATGGGCAGGTGTCTTTGCTTGCTGGTGACATTTCCTAACATTTCAGGGGGCTTGCCCTTCTGGACAAGGGTCCAAGAAAGCCCTGGGCTTACTGTCCCACATTTGTGACACTTTATCCAAGACTGTAGCCCTCACGGGACGGCCTGAGCTGGCTCTCAAAGGAGCCCGGCCAGCCTCTTCCATAAAAGCTGCTCCCATGTCATTCCTAAACTTGGAGTCGCGGAGCCAGCCTCTTCCATAAAAGCTGCTCCCATGTCATTCCTAAACTTGGCTCAGTCCCGGGAGCTGGTCTCTGGAGGATGAGCTGTCAGGGGAGAGCCAACTTGGAGGAGAGCGTCACGAGAAGGCTCGCGGGGGACATGCCCTGCTCCCTGCAGGCCCTGGCCCCACGCAGATGCCCGCTGAGCTCCGTGGGAGGGCCTCCGTCATCTGCTGGCCTTGCTCATCTGCGCCTTCTGTAAGAACAGCTGGGAGCTGGGCTGGGGACACACACCAACACTGACAGTGATGAGAGGCTGAGGCAGGAGGAGCCGGAGGATCACAAGTCCAAGGCCAGACTGAGGGACTTGGTGAGACTGTCTCAACATTTAAAAAATAACTGAAAAG